CACAATCTAAGCATGTGGAAGTCTGGAACCGTCAGCTCCTGCTGTGCCTCTGAGTGTCCAGTGACCTGGCTGACACCACAGGTCCTCATGTCCATTGTTGTGCAAAGGGTCACTGCAGGTTCATGGCCTCTTTCCCTGGACTCTTGCCACCAAGAGCTCAATCTCCAGCTGGTACTGCAGCTGCACAATGAGCTACATGTACTAAATGTATTCCTCAACACATTCACTTCTCCACAGATCCTTTTCCCTTACTGTTCTATGATAGTAAGCATGCAATAAATTTATTTTCTCATTTTTTTCCCCTTTGTTGCCCTTCTCCATCTGTTTTCAATACTCCTATGTTGCTGAACGTCTTAGCCTATTCTCTATCATATGTTAATAAGTGCTTGCAGTCAGCAGGTGCCAGCACCATCACTGAAAATAAACATCACAAAGTCAGTATACATCATGTATTCTGAATGGAGATGCTAGAATGTCCACTAGATTTAAATCCTCGATGAGAAGGACTGTGGTGCAATTTTCCCATTCCTGTTGCATGTTCATCTACATCAGATTTGCATTTTGATAATTATTTCCTTTATCAATTGCTTTTCTTGGTTTTCACTAATTACTTCAATAATTTTATAAAGGGGTTCATAAATGCAAGAGGTAAAAGAATTTTTATTAGCCACAGTCATTGAGCTTTTATGACCTTCAGATAAAGCACACCAGAATGATGAAATGAGTAGTAATAGTTCAAAAGTTCCAAGTATCCAGATCTTCCTTTTCAGTAAAGGAGGAAGCTTGAGCTGTTTTTCAAAGATAGTTTTATTTCTTGGGATTGTGTATGGCCCCAGCTATCAGTTCAATTAAAATCTGGTAAATGTTAGCATCTTCTTTTTATTATTACTGACATTATCACTAATTATTTCTAATATATTCCTGCTATGCCAGTAACCATGACCACAATCAGTCTAGTATTCAAGTCCTCCGGGACCCTTCCATCGTGTTGTTGCTAAGACTGCTTCAAATTTTTAACCTCAGTACTGTCTTCAAAATTCCAATCAGAAAGTGGAATTGGTGGTTTTGGTGGTAGGTTTATACACTTTGAGTGGTTTGTCTCCCACTAACTACATTTTTTACTGGAGAACAGATGAAAGGCCTGAGACAACACAAAGAGCATCAGTATCCTCACCCTGCTCCCCTCAGCAGAACAGCATCGAAGTCCACTAGTGAGGATGTATATCTGTATAGACAGGTACATTGTGGCTCCCTCCATCAGCTGGGCTCATACACTCAGTCTGCCCAGTAGCTGCCCCTGGATCCCAGTCTCCTCAGTTTCTGGCATCTGGACATGTAAGGCTCCAGTTTTGACCTCCATTGATGGGTTTCACACGTGGACAATAGGGGTGAGGCTCTCCTAGAGCAACCCTGGAAAGAACCTGGATATGATGTGCCTCTTTTGAATCCATAATTTGGGAACCTGCCTTAGTGCAGCTCTGCTCCTCAAGGCCATTAGACATGGGCCTTGGACAGTCTGATGGCTCCTGCAGTAGGCCTGGAAGCAGCCAAGGCCAGGATATTATTTGGGCTCTCCCACCTGCCTTCATCTCTCTCTTCTCCTTGTGGATGTATGGATGAGCTTTTATCACATAATTTAATGTGAACAGTCTGGTTTCCACAGTGGTAGCATCACAGCAACTCTCCTGTATTGCCCTATGCTATCTACCTTGGCTTCCACCATCTCAGCTGCCTCAGCCAACTGGGGCTGTATGTTCCTGAACCCCATTCTATCTTTGTGCAACACTCCTTGTAAGCTGCCCAAGAGCACACACAGGCACCTGGCCATTGTTTCCTGGGCAGTTATTTGAAGATTTCATTACTTTAAGATGAAACAACAGCATTGCTTTCATTTGCATTCAGCAAATGTTTTTTTCTGACAAGGAGTATGGCAGAATTGCAGTACAGAGAGAACGTCTTGTGTTGATCACAGAAAGAAATGAATCATTGAACTCCCCCATTTATCTGCCCCTCTGGAGACTATACATTACAAAAATTCTAGCATGATGCAGATTACCTGCCTACTATACAATTAGAATGTGAAAGATTTATAGGGTAAATAACTACTGACATACACCAGGTCACTGAGAGTGAATAAGAACTGTTGTATTCAACCTACTGCAAACATCAGCTTTGCCTTTTCATGTCTTCAATCTTCCTGAGGATAAAGTTCTTTTCAAGGACAAACGTTTGTCTTGTGGATTAATCAGAAGCCTCAGTTATTCAAAAGATCATGTATGCAAGGAACAGCAAAATCTCTTTTTTTGGATGACCTGTTGTGTTGGGTTTGATGGAGAATTGTGGGAATCACAATCTACAGAAACTATTAGTGGAAATGTATGTCTAAAAGGAAACGTAACAGTGATGAGCCTATTATATTCTTTGAATCAAGCTCCTACTGATGTGGGGCTGGGTGGGGATATATTTGATTTTCACAGTTGTATTTTGGCACTACAGAGTCTTTTGCAAAACATAAGCTTTTGGATTTCTTATGAAGGACAAGATCTCTCGTTACTTTAAAAAAATTATAACTAGAAGATGAGACATAAGCAGCAGAATAAAAAAGTCTCAGAATAAAATTAGTTGCTTTGATAATGAGAAGCATTTGAATGCATAGATTCATAGTTCATAGAATGAAAATTCACATCTGGCTGCAGTTAAAATGAAGGGAGCTTACATTTTTAATCAAAGAAACTCGTATAAGGCTCTGGAACAGAAGTCTGTAAAACAAGGCTGAATGTGATATTTCTCCAAGTTCTATTTCTTCATCAGTTTCTTCTATTTTACCTTTGCAGATTATGGAAGTAATTCCTTCTGTAAACTTGCTATTGTTACTGTATATTTTGCTTTTCAAATGTCTCCAATTTCCTGCTGACATAAAGAGGATAAATTGATCCCAACTAATAATTGTTCAACAGTAAGCTCTTTTAGAGTCCTTAATGGACTAACATCCTTTGACATTTTAGCTACTAGTATTTGCAAAATTGCTATGGTGACAAATACAGTTCTATTTTGCTTAACCACTCAGCATGGTTTCAAAAGAACATTTTTGCCAAAGTCAATGCACAGTGCCCTTTTCTCTGAGTAATGGTTCTTTAGTAAAACGTAAATGTACAGGGAAGTGTGACCTGTCTTTGATCACAGTACCTTACAAACACCTACTCAAATTACTATTAAAACAGATTTGGAGTAGCATAGTGTCCACTTACTGAAGAAAAGATGAGGGCAGGTCCAAGGGAACAATCTGTAGCACAAAATGCCTGAGGCTTGCTTCATCTTCCTTTTGGTCATTGTGATGAAGTAAAGCATTCCTAAAGGCAGTGTGATGTCTCCCCTTAAATTCCTCTGCCCAGTAGTGCAAACCCATCAGACATGGCCTAGAGCTGCTTTGACTCATGTAGGGAACCTATGGGCAATGGCATTGGACCTAAGGTCCCAAAGGTAGCTATAGCAGCTTTTGACTGTGTCCATCCCTCTGGTTTTGCAATAAGCAAAGCTAGATGGGAAGATTCAAATAATTTTTTGTCTTTCACTGGAACCAGTTGTCAGACTACATCATAATCTTTTTTGTGCATGTAACAGTTTTCAGACAGGGATCTGAATATGTAGAGACAATAGCTGTGTTATGAGAAGGGGTTGCTAGTAAACTTAGCACCCATGCAGACCAGGTTCCAAAAGATTTAGGTGACAGATTTTTTTAAGATATTTCATCTTTTCTCAAAGAGACTTAAATCCCTGTTACGCCACAGGATTCCCTTCCAGGATGTCCTCTCATAAATGTGTAGTTATAGAAGTTAGTTTCTATTCTAGTTCTGTTTTCGTAAGCACCCTGTAGTGTACAAGGAGAGAGGGATGGGAGGGAGGGAGAGAAGGAGAAAGGGAGGAACAGAGGAAATGGTGTGGGAAGGGGTGGGGGAGAGAGAGATGCTCTCCATCTTTTCTCTCTCTCCATTGATCGTATGGAGACAGATGAGATATTAATATCCTACCAAACACTTGACTTAGAGCCTATAGCCAGATATAGTCACAAGTCCAAGTCAAAGGGTAAGTGCTTAGACTGAGCCTGCTGCATCCTCCATTACTTTCCAGAGCAGGCACTGCTCTGACAGAAGGTGGTAACTAGTAGCATCACGCTTGGCTGAGCTTGGAGCCAGCTGTGGAGCTTTCCTTCCTACAGAGCAGGTCTGAGTATCACTAGGATGGTGGCAGTCAGCAACTGAGAGGTACTCTTGAGTGTGCTCCTAAGTTCCCTATTAGCTGCATCAAATTCAAATTGCAGAAGAGAGCATTTTTAGCGTAAGCTGTTTCACCACCAGCACTCAAGGTCCCACGATGTTTCAAGGCCTCAGATACTCTCATTCAGATGCAGTTATGGTTAAGGCTTTTATAATTTAAATGGAAGTTAAATCAGAGTTCAAACTCAGCTCTTGTCAATGGCTTAATGCACAATGTAAATGTTGCTGCACTTCTGCTAGGTCAAAGACCTGTAGAGGAATGTGATGGAGAGAAATAACAGAAGGAAGAGAGACTGGTTTTGACGTTTTGCTGCTAAATTTACATCCTGATTTTAGAATTTGAAAGATAAGAAATGAACAAGCTGGTGATTTTGTTTCAGAGGTCTGTTTTTGCATTATAAGGTTTGCATTAAATGTGAAAATACTTTTTTAATTGTGTAGGAGAATGTCATTTTTTCTTCATAAAAATATAGGAAGAATGTTGATGGCAGGGAAAATATTTTTTTAACAAGCAAAAGTAAAGCTTGTGTTGATATTATTCATGTAATAATAATACCTGACAGATAATCCTTAGTTTACTTGAAATCCATAATTAAACAGCGTCATGTTACCCTAGTTGTCAAAATCATTTATTGTCTCTTGTCTTGTTGCAATCCTGTTTGAAATTGGTCAGAGGGGAATTTGCTTTGCTTTGACTCTTCTCTCTCTCTCTCTTTTTCTTTTAAGGTCAACTCAAATCAAAACATACTCTTGGGACAATGCCCAGGTTATTTTGGTTGGCAACAAATGTGACATGGAGGATGAACGAGTAATCTTCACTGAGAGGGGCAAACATTTAGCAGAGCAACTTGGTAAGAAAAGACATGACAAAAGCTTTATGATTGCTTGTGAGAATGCACAAATTAATTTAATTAATTGCTACAGTACTTGAAGTGTTCATGACACATTCACTGTAAAGGAATAGTCACACACTGCCTCTCTTTTCTTTCGGCTTATCATTTGTGATATGGAGCAACATTTGTCATGTGTCTGTATATATACAGTATGTTTAGGTAGTTATAGCTAAAGGTAGAAAGGAAAAAAAAATAAGAAAATTCAAATAAAACAACAACAAAAAGAGGAAAGGAGAGATCGAAGAAACAGCTTACTCAAAATGTGAACTAGACCTTTTTGCAAGCTGAGAACATTTGGTTTATGATTACCACTACCAATAATGCAAACCAGAAAGATGCTGATGTCTAACTCCCACTGCTAACACTTCATCTGCTGTACATTTACATACTATTCATAGAAAATATGATCCTCTATTTCATAAAGTCTCCCTCTGGGAGGCAAATGTTATACACAGAGAAAATTACAGAGCTGTGAACAGCTCTATTCTTTCTGTTTCTACCCAACACTGTTATTCTTTTATGCCATGAAATGAAATATTTTTTAAATGACTACCCAGCCTTTTTTGTTCCTTCAGATTTGTTGATCTCTGCAGAGCAAGTTCAGAAGGTGTGCAAATCAAACTCTGGCATCATTGGAGATCAGTTCATGTGCTAGGGTACATGAACTATTGACAAACGTTTGTTATAATTTTTGAAACTGAGTGAGGTAAAAGCTCAGTCTGATCAAAATATGTATAACAAGGATCTCCTTGTCACTATTCCTATATAGATGATTAGATGAAAGGATGCTTTAAGAGTGGATCTAGTCTCATGCTAGTGGTTCTTAACTTACGTATATTCATAGGTCACTAACCTTATTTTTTTAAAAATACTTTTTCTAGTGGTGCAATTGTTTTTCCTGGTAAACAGTTTCATCAGAATAACATATCTTCCTATTGCATCTGTCTAAGTAAGTGTTACATATGCATGAAAGCACTTCTCCAAATCGTACTTTAAAAATTACTATAAATTAATCCTTGAAAGGAGACAGAAAATATTTAACAGCAGGTTAAGTCCAGAAGACTTTGCAACATTTGTGAAGAACTGAGTTTCTAAAACTGTTTGCAACAAAACCATAACAATTACCTTTGCACTTGCTTTAATAGAGGATATTTTTCTTTGAAGAAATACCTGGCATATTATATATATTTCTATAAACTGTTCTTCCCATTTCTAATATTTACAAACTTTACTAAGAGCTAGGAAAATGTATTCAGTGGAGAAAAAATCCCAAAAATACAACTGTATACTCTAACCACAAATTTAGACCAGGCACTAAAATGTCTGACAATAACCATAAATTTACACTATTGAGTTTGAAGAGTTGGGGTTTTTTAACTCACATAATTAATCTGAATTTCTTCTCCTTGAACTATTTTCCTGTAAAAAGTTAATGTAGGGAATTGGTAAGGAATCCCTAGGGTCATGAATTCAGCAAGATTGGAAGGAACTTTGCATGTTGTACAGCCAAGAATCCTCAGCTGTAACAACCAATGCTTGAAAAAGAAGAAAAAGAGTAATGAGATAGATATCAAAACTCGTGTTTCAGGCTTTAGAGCAAAATCCAGCTCCTGGGATTTAAAATTCAATCTTTATGGAAGCAGAGTATCTTCTATTTCCATATTTATGTACTCAGGGGGTTTCCTTTCTCAGGTACACATCCTGTGACTATCTCAAGGGCAGATGATTGTACTGGATAACTTGTGTCTCTGATCTAGTCATTTACTGTAGTCAGACTGCATACACAAATATTTACATGTTTCCTGTACAGCTGCAATCATTTCTTATATCTGCTTAGAGACTGTGGGACGTGGTGGCAGGAAAAGCAGAAGAATGACTTTCCCTTAACTGTAGTAAGGGCCTGGCCTTCTGACTAGTCTGAAGGACACACGTTGAGCCAAACACATGGGACTATCCTGTCTTTCTCTGACAGTGGGTTGATAACATGGCTTATGGGCAAGTTTTAAAAATAACAATATAGATTTTAGTGTCTAGCAAGACAGTTTAAAACTGAGGGCCCTTTGAATGCCATGATCTGCAATCTTGATTGCAGCCACAATTACAAGCAAATACAACTCACGAGTGCTGTACAAAGAATATATTGTGACACCCTCAGTTCTAAAGTGTGATTTTATTTTCAGGGCTAGTTTATTTGAAATCACTGAGAAAATGAATACATGCACATTTTGGGTTGGATTTTCAAAAGATCAAAAAGAGCAATGGGCATTCAATCCTTCAGGGAAACAAGGTGTTCTGTTAAGGACAGCTTTATTGGAAAATTGAGTCTTCATGTGGCTTCTGACCTTTCTGAAAACTGTGGCCTTAAATTTTATTTACCAGGTGTAATCATTTGTTTCTTTAAATTTCAGTGCTGGCTTATTTCTCAAGTGTAACTCAAACAAGTGGTTTAGATCAACCACCAATAGGTCTCATTCCTGGTGGAGGAGGTCTGGCTGAACTAGTCAAGTATCCTGTGGTAGCTCTGAGCACCTTTCTCATGACACTATTCAAAGTTCACTGAATTGAACTTTAAGAACAGTTAAGAATCCAGATCTGACCTTGAAGGAAAATTAACAGAATGCTTATGAGGTCAGAATCTGTCTTGTTTCCATCAAAGATTTTTTTTAAGTTTGTTGATTATGACCTTACACTGGCAATACCACCATGGATCATAGCTACAATCAGTATACTAATTTACCTATGGTAATGACCATAAGTAGGTGTCTTATGCCAACACATAAATTGGCAAACATACAGTGATATTTTCCCAGACTGTAGCAAATTATATTTGTGGGTCTCATGAACCAAATGCAGTACATTTATATTCAATAGCCCTTTCATGATTTTTTTCCCATGGACTTGTACAATGATGTCTTTGAAACCATAAAAAGTCTTGCTATCCACAACATCCTTTAAAAATGCATAGTTTGTCTGTTATCCCCTTCTGCTTTGAATTGGCCCCCGATAGTTTTATTTTATGTTTCTTCACTGTTACATTCTGAAAAGCAGTGAACAACTGTTTTCTGCTACCTGCTCTCTAACACTCTAGGTTTCAGAGAGCTCTGTCATACTCCTTTTTTCCATGCTGAAATTCCCAGAATATATAATTGTTCCACACGCAAAGACCATCTCACACGTTAGTCATTCCTTATCACCCTATTCAGTAATTTTTTGTAAGTGGTACAGCCTTCTGTCTGAAATTAGTTCATGGTTGTTTAACACAATAGCATCATTAAAAGACTAATGTTTGAATGAGATGAAAATAGATGGGTTCAAATAAAGTTGTGTAACTTTACCTCATAGAGAGATCATTCTAAGAAAATACAGAAAAGTGACAAACCGGCCAACAAAGAGAACTAATTAATGTAATGCTAATGCTGACATGGGGATCACAGCAAACACATTCAAAGAAGTTTATTTGCTAATCATTACAAAAAAGGGTATGGAATATAATTCTTATATTGTGTATATTCATGAATGTTTGCTGTAAGCACTACTTGCATTGGCTGTTGAGTGAAATCCCAATATAACTTACATGCTTTAAATCCAAAACACTTACATGCTTTAAAGCATTTTAGTAAAACAGGCTGGGAACTTCTTCAAAATGTACACTTGGCAGTGAATTGGTAGCACAGCTTTTCTGAGATATTAGTCTTGTGCATTTCAGCTGAATTCATACATTCCTAAAAGTTTGGTGTCAATTCTCAGAAGAGAAATAAAAAGAGTGATTCACAAATGGCATAGGTTTCATGGTTCTTCTATTTGTGGTCTGTACGATATATTGCACTTGTTATGGACATTCCGGCAAAGGATTAGCAGGCAGGGTGTACACAGAGCTTTGAATAGAGTCCGAGTAACTGCACATGGAAATGGATAGTCGCATATGAAATTTGAAATACACTTTCTCCATTTATTTCGGACATTCTGCTGTGCATGCAAATTAGGTACGTAAGTTTTTTTGAGTTCTTTGGTTTCTCAGGTGCTTCTGTACAAACTCTTGTTTGCTATCTCTGTGTTACAAATGCTTTCAACAATCAGCAGTTTTAATTGCAAATACTGTGAATACAAAATATCTTGAAGTCCTAGGCCCCTATGGTTGCAAAAGTACAATCCTGCCACAGGTCCAAACTATGCTGATTGAGCTGATGCTGCACAAGGTACTAGGGGAATACTACAGGACCTGCCCCAAATGTCTGACCACCTTTTCTGTAAGATCTTGTTTGTTCTATCCCCCCTTTTTGTCTTAGATTGGCTAAGGCTCTGGGAAACTGAGTTGGTTGGAAGGGAATTCTGGTGATCACCTAGTATGATGACTGACTAAAATATACCCCTGGCTCAGTTTTAAGAGCAGTACCCTTCCCTTCAGATTTTCTGTGCCTCCATATTTCTTATGCTCTGCAACCGAGGATCACCCATGGCGGGGGTCATTCTGCATGTCTGAGCATGACCTGGGGTGCACTTGCATGTTTTCTAAATTTACCCTGGCGTGCTGTCTACCCTAGAGGCCAACAACTGACGTTAGAAAACAAAATGAAGCAGGCCCTTTTGGGTGAGCTCTCACATTCCCTTCTGCAAGGAATGGCAGAAGTCAGCCCTGATACTGCACTCAGGGCACCTGCACAGGGCTCTGAATATTATGTGCCCAGGGTCAGCAGTGACTGCGACTTCAGTGCACCTTCACAGCTTGTTACTCAGAGAGATAGTCATTTTACCCCTCAGATATAAGCACATCTTTTATATTTTGGTGTGCTTTTCCTCTCTCCATCCTTTCTCTTTGCATCTTTTGGGTCATTTCTCCCCTAAAGTCTTCCTTCCTTCCTTCCTTCCTTCCTTCCTTCCTTTCTTCCTTCCTTCCTTCCTTCCTTCCCTTCCTTTCCTTCCTTTCCTTCCTTTCCTTCCCTCCCTTCCTCCCTTCCTCT